CAGGACGAGGGACGAGGACAGACGGAAGGAACCCAGACACACGATAGTCGTTTACAACACATACGGCACCACACAACCGACGGTGATACATCGGAGGCAGACAACGTCAGACCACATCGGATTTCGACGATTATGATCACCACCGACCAGAATGCCACCAGTGAAGACACTATGCGCATCGTCAACGGCATCGAGCAGCAAGCAACCCTACAGCAACGACGAGTACGTATATCTACTACAGCGAACGACACGAGTCAGACGTATAATGACAGAAGCCCTGACTACACTAACAACGCTATTAACAAAGCTATACGGAATGGTACAACCGACGCCGTTTACTACAAGAAAACCATACCGAGCCTCGACAACAGCAAATGACTTCGTGATGAGCAAAACTCGTTGGGAAGAGACTCCAGCACAAAAGACTTAAATACCATCATGGACGACAACGCGAAGACACGTGACGCTATCTTCCTCATGTACACGTGTATCGCCAACGACACGGCCTGCTGGATGAACATCGGACCAATCTCGACCACCGCCCCCCACGAACTACAATACTTGAAGAGCCACAACCTTGTCACTGTGACCGACCACACGATCACGAGCAAGCATTTCCAGCACACCAGCGACGCATCATGGCAGCAGCACGCGAAAGCAACAACAACGACGCACAACGGACAGACAGTATAACCGAATTCGTGACATACTATGACCGCTACCACGTAGAAAGCGAGCATGAGCAGCCAACCCAACATCAGGAGACGACACTCCCAGAGGGTACCAGCGCCAGACGGGCGTCGCCATACACTGCCACAGGAGCCAGACAGCACAGGTCCCAGCATGGTAGGAACGACGGCTACTCCCAGAACTACCATGACGTCGAACGCGACCACAACCACGACCAGTACCCTCTCGACGGCAACCACAACGCGACAATGGCGAAGATCAACCCAGACGAGGAGGAGGACCACAACGGCTTGTCACCACAGCGCGCGGCGCCGAAGGGTGGTGACAGCCCCCTGTACACCCGCAGCGCCGCTGGCACCGAAGGGCGGGGGGCAGGGTCAGTCCAAAAAAGGAAACAACAACAGCGAGAGCGGAGCAGCAGGCCACCTCGGCCTGGGCCCACGCCCATACGAGGGGCACATGAAGGACCCCTACGGCAACACCACGCACACGTCCAACAAAGACACCAGCCCCACGCAGTACAGGGTCGTGAACGCCCCCTCGGCGGCGAGCGTGCCGGCCCCCAAAGATACCCTAGGGGGCGCAGGCGGCCGCGAGGGGGATGAGGTCGACCTCTTCGTCTGAAACCTGGCCCCGCGGGGGCCGATAGTAGGGGGCCGAGCCACCCCAGGTTCCCTTGCCTCCCCCTGTCCTCCTGAGCCCTGGTGGCCTTGACCCTTGTCCCTCCCTCGGGTTCCCTGGGGGCTCGGCCGCCTCGTAGTAGTTTGTGGGCCCCCCCCCCCGTTCCTTCCTCTCTCTTTTTAGATGTTCCCTACCTAGGCTCTGCCTAGAAGGGTTCTTACTCTCTGGGCTTAAAGGGGTCGGGCAGTGGAAAGCGCCCCGGGCGGGTCTCCCAGTATCCGCCCCGCGGTTCCCCCAGTTACGTCCCCTTAGCTTAGCGGTGCTTATCTCATCTTAGCTTAGCTTATTTCATCTTAGCTTAGCTTAGCTTCATCTTAGCTCAGGTTTATCTTAGCTTAGCTTACCTTCATCTTAGCTTCGCTGAGCTTTAGCATAACAGAGCACATCATAGCATAGCATAGCGTAGCATAGCATAGCGCAGCATATCATAGCATATCATATCATAGCAGAACATAGCGCAGCTTAGCATAGCATAGCATAACATATCATCGCTAAGCATAACACGGCGCAGCATGACATATCATAGCTTAGCATAGCATAGCATATCATAGCATATCATAGCGCAGCATAGCATGGCATGGCATAGCATAGCAACTAATGCTGCTTTCCTAGGGGCTCCAACTTCTATGTAGGGTCGCACTGGGCTAATTTGCCGCCTGGCTCCCTTCTGTTGGGGGGGGGCGCCACACTCGTGCACTATAATTTGGCCCCCCCCACCATCACCTCCGCGTCGAATGCGCGAAATGGAGATCGTCTTCAACTATGGAGGTGGTGGTCGGGGGGCTAAGTGACCCAGGCTTTGGTATTTTGTCCTTCGGCCCCTCGGGCCCCGCCTCCTTTCCCCCTCCTCGTGGCGCCTGAGGCTTCCGTGGTTTCCTTCCTGTTCCTTGGCGGGGTTTTGGGTCCAGAGGCTGTTTCCTGGGGCTCCCACCTTCTGCCTCAGCACCCCGCTGAGGTAGAGGGTGGGAAATAGGTCACGATGCGCGTGCTCGGTACAGATCTGGGCGCGCCCACAGCGCGCGGCCGCGGACGCGGGCGCGCGCTGCGGCTACGGCGGACAGACCGCCGCGTGGCCGTCAGTGCGCAGGAGGAGGAGGAGAAGGAGGAGGAGGGGGAAACGAAGGAGGATGATGAGGATGATGAGGAGGAGGATGAGGAAGCGGAGGAGGAAGAGGAGGAGGAAGAGGAGGGGGATCAGGAGGATGACGAGGAGGCTACCCAGGAGGCGGAGAAGGAGGATGATGAGGAGGAGGACGAGGATGGGGAGGAGGAAGAGGCGGAGGAGGAAACGGAGGAGGAGGATGAAGATGATGAGGCGGAAGGGGAGCAGGAGGAGGAGGAGGAGGAGGAGGAGGAGGAGGAGGAGGAGGAGGAGGAGGGCGAGGCAGACGCGAAGCACCACCCAGGAGAAAGAGGATGAGGACGATGTTACTGAGGATGAGGATGAGGAGGAGGACGCTGATGATGAAGATGAGGATGACGCGAAGGAGGAGGACGAACATGATGATGCTGGTGATGATGCGGCGGCTGATGATGAGGAGACGGAGGAGGAGGAGGATGAGGAGGAGGACGATAAGGAGGAGGCGGAGGCGCAGGATGAAGAGGAGGAGGAGGAGGAGCGAGGATGAGGATGAGGATGATAATGATGATGAGGAGGATGATGAGGATGAAGCGGAGGAGGAGGCGGAGGAAGCGGAGGAGGAGGAAGAGGAGGAGGAGGAGGATGAGGAGGGAGAAGCGAAGCAACCACCGAGGAGGTAGAGGAGGATGATGCGGATGAGGAGAACGAGGAGGAGGAGGAGGAGGAGGAGGATTTGGAGGAGGACGAGGAGGAGAAGGAGGAGGAGGATGTGGAGCCAGAAGGAGGAGGAGGAGGAGCGATGTGGAGCCAGAAGGACCCCACCTCCCCTCCCAGAGGGGACTCGGGGCTGTCGCGCTTCAGCACCAGGCGCACCAGCGGCCACCGCGCGTGCTCCTTGTGCTCTCGCGCCGTCGTATTTCGTCGTCGTCGTTCGTCGTCCGCCGTCGTCATTCGCCGTTTGTCGCCGTCACTCGTTGTCCTCACTCGTCGTCAACGTTCGTCGTTGTGATCCGTCGCCGTCGTCGTCGTCGTCGTCGCCGCCGCCGCCGCCGTCGTCGTCGTCGTCGTCGTCGTCGTCGTCGTCGTCGTCGTCGTCGTCGTCGTCGTCGTCGTCGTTCGTTGCCGTCGTCGGGAACGGATGACGGGAGGCTCCTCCTCCGCCTCTTTCATCTCGCTCCTTCCTCCCACACCTCTTTCCCTCCTCTCCCCTTCTCTTCCGATTGCATCTCGATTTCCCCCTCGCACCAGGAAGAAATATGCGGGCGATCATTCAGAGGATGAGGAATGAGGGGCTGGAGGGGGGGACAGGAAGGGGAGACGGGAAGAACAGAAGAGGGGGACGCAAACAAATTGGACAGTCAGGAGGGACGGTACCGGAGGAAGTGCGGACAAGAGGATGGAAGACGGATGTGCAAGGACGGGCCAGGAACGGAGGATACTCAAGAAGAGGAGGAGGAGGAGGAGGAGGGAGGAAGAGGAATAGGAGGAGACGAAGGAGGAGGAGGAAGAGGAGGAGGAGGAGGAGGAGGAGGGAGAGGAGGACGAGGAGGAGGAGGACGAGGAGAAGGAGGATGAAGAGGAGGAGGAGCAAGAGGAGGAGGAGAAGGAGGAGGATGAGGAGGAGGGGGAGAAGGACGAGGCAGACGCGAAGCAACACCGAGGATGATGAGGATGAGGATGATGATAATGAGGATGAGGACAAGGATGAGGAGGAAGCTGAGGAGGAGGTGGATGATGAGGATGAAGAGGAGGAAGAGGAGGAGGAGGAGGAGGAGGAGGAGGAGGAGGAGGAGGAGGAGAAGGGGAGGAGGGCGGAGGAGAAGTAAAAGGAGGACAACGGTGCGACAAGGGGGTCAATCCATGAGGAGGAGGGATTCTGATGATGGGGAGAAGGTGGATGAGGAGGACGAGGACGATACTGAGGAGGAGGATACTGAGGAGGAGGAGCAGGAGGAGGAGGAGGACAATAACAAACATCTCGTGGGGCAAGCCTTCGAAGGTTATACGACCTCGCCCTCGGATCGACCTAGCAGCCAGAGGGAAGGGAGGAGGAGGAGGAGGAGGAGGAGGAGGAGGAGGAGGAGGAGGAGGAGGAGGAGGAAGAGGGGGAGGAGGAGGAGTAGAAAGAGGAAGACGAGGAGGACAAATATTAAACATCTCATGGGGCAAATTTTCGAAAGTGATATGACATCGACCCAGGATCGACCTAGCAGCCAGGGACGCTGAGGGACGCTGATGAGACGAGGCGTGTCTGTGCCCCCCGCCACAACAAGGCGGGGCCCGCCCGCGCACCTGGTGGGGGAGCAAAACCAGCCCGGGCGGAGCGAGCAGCAGGCGGACCCGCCGGCCACCAGAGGCCACGGCCCCAAAAAGGCCGAGCGAAAACCAAGGAACACGAAGGCCCGAGGAAAAGAGCCACGCTTTCGGGGCCCCCGATGGGGGGGGCCCGACAGCACGGAGGCGGCTGGCATAACCCACCCCCAGGACCAGGGTGTCCCAGTCCAGCCCTCGCCGAACGAGTCCACTCCACCTGGGGAAAGTTCTGCAGCTAGCCACCTTCGAGGAGAGCCTTGGCCATCTCGATGAAGACCTTCTGCTCTCCGCGTCCTCGTCGGTGCTACCCTCATAGACGTGTCCATCCCCGACGTCATGACGTCGGTGTCCTTTGTGGTCCCTGTGCCCACAACAGAAATTCATCGTACCTGGATCCAGATTTTGTCGGGCTTGCCCATGAACGTGCCCATCCTGACCCAAATCAGCCCCTTCACGTCGGGGCCCTTTTGGGTCCTCCACTGTACTGTAGGCCTGCATGTCTTGGTCCCCCAGCTCGGTGAGGGAAGCGCTGACCTCAGTCGTGCTACTGTCCTCATAGATGCGGTCCTTCATGTCCTTGTCCTCCAGCTGGCTGAAGGAGTTGCTGACCTTCGCTGCGTACTCAAACGAGGCGTGTTCCTCCAAGAACTCCTCCGACTCGACGGCCAAGCTGTCGAGGCTGATGCTGCACTCCGTGTCGGCCGCCAACACCTTGCTGGTGCCTCCCTTGGAGAGTGGGGAGAAGAGCTCCTTCAGATCCTCCTGCTTACTCTCCTCATCCCCGCCCTTGCGCTTGAAGACCTCCCCGTCCCCGTCGTCATTCTCGCCGACGTTGCTGGGGACCGTCACCGCGTACTCACTCTTCGCACTCTCGTCGAAACTGACATCCTTTGGACACTCGAGCGGCACCCCGTTGAAATCAAGGATGCGCTTGATAACCGAACGGCCTCCGATGTGAACCGCTTCCCCACTCAAGTAGAACGGCTGTGGATCTGCGTCAACGCCGCCGTCACCAGCACGAACGTTCCAATGATGAAGCGGGTCCTCGGACGTATCCACTGAATCGTCTACGTCGTCACACGTGGGTATGTACAGAGCCGCCTCCAACCTCAGTCCACCAGGGCGGGTCCTTCTTGCCTTTCTTGTCCTTCTTGGAGGCTGGGTCCAGCAGGGAGGGCCGCACTCCTTCCCAACACTGCGGCGGTCCCTTGTCCTTCTGGTCCTTGTGTTCCTTCGTGGTCTTCTTTGTCTTCTTGACGGCGTCCGGAAGCCTGCTCGACCGGCTGCGCGACCTCGAGTGGAGCCTCGCACGGGGTCGAGGGGACGACGACCTAACAGCTAGGAGGAAGAGGAGGAGCAGGAGAAGGAGGAGAAGGAGGAGGAGGACCAGTGTAAACACAAGGGTCATCAACGATGTTGGAATAAACCCTCCCTCCAAGCTCCTTTCTCACATGCCCCTACACCGGTTCTTTTCCACAGAGGGAACTGCCTCGTTGGCAGACAACCGTTTGAAGACCCTGAAGCATGCCAAAACATTGTTCTCAATATTCCAACGCCACGGATCAACCTGATTGTTGCGTCTTGACGATCCGGAATCGTGCCAGAACGCGATTCCTGGGACCTCAACGCTGCGAATCAATGTAATTAACTGTTGCACCTTTTCGTAATCCTGAATCCCTCCAAAAAAAAATTTCTGGTACGCAGATCAGAGGAATCCGTGAAGCTCTTGCGCATTTTTTGAAAACGACTGTGTGCGGCGCTATGGCGAGAGCCACATTTTGAAAACGGCTCGCTCTCAATCAGTGAAACACATTTTGTCAAAACGAATGTGCGCGGCGCTAAGGCGAGAACCACATCTTGAAAACGAGTCTCCCTCAATCCTTGAAATTATTGCACATGTTTTGAAAACGAATGTGCGCGGCGATAAGGCGACAACCACACTTTGAAAACGGCTCGCCCTCAATCCGTTAAACTGCTGCATTTTTTTGAAAACGAATGTGCGCGGCGCTAAAGCGAGGAGCCACATTTTGAGAACGGGTCGCCCTCAATCCGTTCAACTCGTGCAGATTTCTAAATCGAACGTGCGCGGCGCTGAGGCGAGGAGCCACATTTTGAAAACGACCCGCCCTCCATCTGTGAAGCTGTTGCTACTTGTTAAGCTTCAGGGTCAAAACTGATGATGAAGTCTCAGGCGAAACGCCCGACCCGCCCTAAACACTGGCCTCGGGGTGCAACAGGGAGAAATAATGTATAAAGAAAACGAATGGAGCAGGGAGGAGAAGGAGGCGGAGGAGGAGGAGGAGAAGGATCGAAGTGTTCGGGGGAGGAGGAGGACGAGGAGGAGGAGGAGGAGGAGGAGGAGGAGGAAGGGGATGAGGCGGAGGGGGGGGGGAGGAGGAGGAGGAGGAGGAGGAGGAGGGGAGGAGGAGGAGGAGGGGAGAGGAGGAGGAGGAGGGAGGAGGAGGAGGAGGAGGAGGAGGAGGAGGAGGAGGAGGAGGAGGAGGAGGAGGAGGAGGCGCGTGGCCTTTGGCAGAGTGTGCGCGTCCTCGTGCTTTGCTACATCTTCGGGCGGACAGCGTCGCCACAAGTTCTGCTCACCTGCCGCTGCTGCGTGCTGCTCTGGGTCCCCCCCCTCTCTCTCTCGCTCCTTTTTTCTTGGACAAGCCGCAAGCGTGCAGGGGCGTGAGACGTAATCTTTATCTCTCTCTCTCTCACTCTCCCGCGCTCTCTCTCTCTCTCTCTCTCTCTCTTTCGCTCTCGCACTCTCTCTCTCTCTCCGTCTTTGTCCCTGTCCCTGTCCTTGTCCTTGTCACTGTCCCTGTCCCTCCCTCTTTTTCTGCCTCTCCTTCTCTCTCTCTCGTCTCTCTCTCTCTCTATCTCTCTCTTGCTCTATCACGTCTCTCTCTCTCTCTCTGTCGTCTGAACACGTGGTGTGCGCTCCCAGACTCTGCCCTCGGTCCGCGGATCAGGGGGAGGGGGGCCGATTCCTCCTCCGCGGCGGCGGCGGCGGCCGCCGGCAGCGCGGCGGCCATCACCGCCAGCGGTGTGGTGGCCTTCGCCCGAGCCTGGCAGCGGGCCGTGGTCGGAATCTCGTCGTCGTCGTCGTCCTCCTCCTCCTCCTCCTCCTCCTCCTCCCCTTCCTCCTCCGTTTCCTTCTCCCACGTCGCCTCGACTGCAGTGCTGTGGTGCCTTGCAAACGGATGGTGCATCGCTCCGCTCCGTGGGGCGGGAGGCTGGGAAGAGCTCTGGACGATGACGCCCGGGGACCGCGACGTGCTTGGCGTGTCGCGCCGAAGCGTGGTGGGCCAGAACCAGGGGAATGACGCGCAAAGCAAACGTTCCTGACCGTATTTGGCAGCGCGCACAAGGGGGAATGGGGGGGGGGAAGGCTTCTTGGAGGGAGGCTGCTCGAAGGCGCAGGCCCTCACGTCTACAGATAAGGCCTGCGCCTTTTGAGAAGCATATGTGCTTCCAACAAGCCGTCCCCCCTCCCCCCTGTCCCCCTCTGCGCGCGGCTGGCTTCTCGTCTCCGCGCCCTCCTCCATAGCCCCGCGGCCGCCGCCGTCGGCGGGTGGTGGGGCCTTCGCGCCGTCGTCGACCGCGGCCTTCGCCGGCGGCCAGCCCTCGAGGCCGGCCGGGTCACGAGCGCGCCCGCGCGGTCCGCGAGGGGGTCGGGGTTCGCCTTCCCCCCTCCCCCCAACCCCCTCTGCGCGTGGCTGCACTCAGCAAGCGTTCCCAACCGTGTGTCTCGCCCACGGTCCATGCCCCACCACGGCACGGCCGGCAGGCTTGGGCAGAGCGCCCGCGCCAACTCGGGGTCGGCTGCCCACGGACATCTTGCTGCTGCTCCTATAGCCCTCCTCCGTCTGAGGCTAAGGCTGCGGAAGGTATTCATCGGTGCTGATGTGGCGCCCTTCGTTGACCCTCCGCCGCCTCCTCCTCCTCCTGCCGCTCCTCCTGCCCCTCGTCCTCTTCCCGCTCCAGCTCGCTCCCGATCCTCCTCCCTCCTCCTCGCCCTCCACATCCTGCTCCCCCGCGTCCTCTCTTCCCTCTTTTCCTCCGCTACCCCTCCTCCTCCTCCTCCTTTTCCTCCTCCTCCTCCTCCTCCTTTTCCACCTCCTCCTCCTCCTCCTCCTCCTCCTCCTCCTCCTCCTCCCCCATCTGCCGAGACAGCTCAAGGCAACTTGTCAGGCAACGTCCATGAGGTCCCGTCTGGCCTTTCGCCGACCGTGCAAGACTCTGGCGGTCTGCCGGCGGGGGTCCTGGTGGCGCTCCCCTCTGCGCCGCAGTGGGGTGCCGCCTCGTGGTGGCATGGCGGCGGCCGCCCGTCTACATCGCCAGTGACTTTTTGGAACAACGATGACGATGACGATGACGATGACGGTGACGATGACGGTGACGACGATGATGACGATCACCGTCATCGTCATCGTCATCGTCTTTTTTTTGGTCCACCCTCCCCGTGCGGGCGCCTTTCGTTTCAAAGGCTACGTCCCGTTTGTTGCTAGAATGGCAGCCCCGAGTGCCGCTGCAGTAGCTGGCCCCAGGGCGCCAAAGGTATGCGCAGCTGTTTTCCACATCACCAGCGGTATGATTTCTCGAAGTACGGGGACCGCACGCTGAACAGGCGTTGTCACATCCAAGAGGGCTAGAAGACCACATGTTACATCGCGGGCATACGTTTCGACCCAATCTTTCTCCTTGCTCTTCTCGGCGCACGTCTCCCTCCTCAGCTAGCCCCTGTTCGTGTGCATCACCGACTCTGACGGCGGGAACATCAAGATGGCAACGTCCAACCGAGAACCGAAACAGCCGCCTGGTACGCCGACTACGGGAACGGGAACTGCGATATGCAGTCAAAAGAACGAAACTCACATCTGGTACTGTATGCGCATCACCTCTCTCGGGTTCGAGCGCGGGGAACAGGAGGGCACCCGCGTAATTCGATGAGACACGGCAGCGACAGGACCGAGGACAGAGAAGAGAAGCATTGATCCAAATGCCCCCCCCCCCCCCGCGCGCGCGTGTGCGCCCCCTCAGCCTTGTCTCGCCCCCTATTCCCGTCTCTCCCCCTACCCTCATGTCGGGCATGTCCCCCTACAGGACGAAGAAATTAAAAATACCCAGCAATATTCAAAACTAGCAAAACAACCATCCCCAGACTACTGTTGGACTATCTCTGAACATTCCTCCTGTAGAGGGCCAGGCCCGACTTCAACCCCCACCCCTCGCAGCTCCCCTCCCCATGCCCTGGCCGATCCCCTATTGGGCGGATCCTGGTCCCCATGCGGCGCGATGCGAGCCGGCCGCGCGCTTCTCTCCGCCCGACCTTCTCCACCGCGACGCTGCGCGCGTGGATGCGCGGCCAAAAGGTGTGTGCGCCCCACCCCGCTCTCCTTCCCTTTGCCCCCCTCTTGCACGCGTCCTCTCCCTCGCGTCCATCCCGTGTTTGGGAAAAGCAGTCATCGTGTTGGGGGGAAGTGGTAGGGAAGATGCAGGGTACGACTGTGTCAGAAGCACCTTCAGCATACGCGGTCATATTGATGACGCGATCACTCCTTCCGGCCCCGTCCTCCCAACCCGATCCTTGTCTTTCTGAATGTTGGTCGGCCGTCGCTGCCTACCGGCCCCAGAGGCGCGGGGGATTCTGCAGGCTCGATCGGTATCATCGGCCCCCTCGGAGGGAGGCGCCCCCACGGCTGCGTGGCTCCAGTGGGGTTGCCCCAAAGAGGCAGCGCGATCCCGTTCGGGTGCGGAGGCTGCCTTGCAAGGTCGACGGTTCACAACGTAGCGAGGTCTCAGGGTTTCAAGTCCCAGGAGCCGAATTGACACACGAACTCCACGAGCCCGATCCGGATCCTTCTCCTACTCCTCCTTTGAGGTCCCCAGAAGTATCTTTCAGGAGGTCTTCCAGCGAGCACGTAAAGACCCCCGTAGTCCCTGGAGGCCTGGGGCTCCTCCTTCTCGTCGCCCTCGTCTTCTTCTTCTTCTTCTTCTTCTTCTTCTTCTTCTTCATCTGTTCTAATGAGGAGGGGGAGGAGGGGGAGGAGGAGGAGGAGTCCCTACACCTTTGTCCAGAGCGATGCGCGCGGCGGCGATTACGGCGGCTGCGACGACGGCGGCGGCGGCAGCGGCAACAGGCGGCGCCTCCGGCGCCGCCGCGGGAGCGGGCGGCGGCGCGGTGGGCGCGGGCGCCAGCTCTGGCAGCCGCCTGCAGATCGCCTCCAGCAGCTCCAGCTCCTCGCGCGCGCGCGCGGGCAGCCGACGGCGCCGGCGGCGCCGACGGCGCCGACGGCGCCGACCGCCAGCGCCGGCGGTGCCAACGGCGCCGGCGCCGACGGCGCCCTCGCCGACAGCGTGCCGACGGCGCCGGCGCCGACGGCGACACGCCGACGAGGGCGCGCCGTACAACTCCAGCGCCCAACGGTTCGTGACGGCTGGCTTCATTCATGCCGGCGGCTCCTGGAAGGTTTGTCTCGCGGTCCGCCGCCCTGGGGCCCTCCTCGGACCCGGGCCCTGGGGCACCACGGCCGGAGGAGGAGCAGGAGGAGGAGGAGGAGGAGGAGGAGGAGGAGGAGGAGGCGGAGGAGGAGGAGGAGGAGGAGGAGGAGTAGGAGGAGGAGGAGGAGGAGGAGAAGGAGGGGCCGTCAAGGGAGTGTGGCCCAGGATGCAGGCCACGGTCCCACCAGATGGGGTCGAGAGCTCCGGGGGCCCACGCCACGGAAACACTGTGGCGCTGGGTGTCATGGGGGCGGCGACGAAGGCACCGACTCCGACGAAGACGACGAAGACGCCGACGCCGACAACGCCGACAACGCCGTCGACGGGGACGCAGAGGCAGATTCTCAGTCGCACCTCGCCGCGCTCCTGTGCGCCTATCGCCATGTCGCAACGGCGGCCGCCGACGACGGCAATGCGCCGACGACGACGAAGATGGCGAAGACGACAATGACGACGCGGGCAGCCCGCGCAGAGGCACGTCCTCGGCTGCGTCGTTGTCATTGTCACAGCCACCGTTGTCATCATCGTCATTGGCGGCGGCGAGGGCTGCGTCGTCGGCGTCGGCGCGTCATCCTGGGCCCAGGAGAAGCTGAGGCATGGTTGCGAAGCAGCTGAGGGGTGGATGACTGAGCAGCAGTAGCGGTAGCAATGGCAGCAGCAACAACGCAAGCAGTAGGAACACTGGCCTGGCGGAAGCACGAGGCGCGGGAACTCTAGATCTCCCGTGTTGCTTTGGCGGCCCAAGTTGCGGTGGAGGCCCTGGAGGTCTGTGGAGGCCACCGAAGGCCTCTAGGAATCCCCAGGGGTCTATGAAGAGGGAGGATGAAATGCCATCACGCGGCAGCGTGGCATGGCAGAGGGACCTGAGGTTTCTAGAGAGGGAAGAGGAAGAGGAGGAGGAGGAGGCGGAGGAGGAGGCGGAGGAGGAGGCGGAGAGGAGTTGGAGGAAGAGGAGGAGGAGGAGGAGGAGGAGGAGGAGGAGGAGGAGAGGAGGGAGGAGGAGGAGGAGGAGGAGAGGGGGGGGAGGAGGAGGAGGCGGAGGAGGAGGAGGAGGAGGGTGGAGGAGGAGGAGGAGGAGGAGGAGGAGGAGGAGGAGGAGGAGGAGGAGGAGGAGCATGAGGAGGAGGAGGAGGCGGAGGAGGAGGAGGAGGATTCCGCCGAGGGCGAGCCACGCCGAACGTGAGGCCCCTTCTGCGCCAAACAGTACGTGTCAGCAACACCGAGGATCGCAGCATCGGGGGTGGACAGAACCCCCTTTAGCAAAACGCACTTTAATCAAAGCTGCCAGGGCCACCCCACGTGCGCACGGCACCGCATTCCGAGTGCACACCGGCGGGGTAGTAGCTGATCTACGTCCGAAAACAAACGACTGTATCGGGCGAGACGCACGTCGATTTTAGAAACCGACTACGGACTACACCGGTGCACGCGAATGCTAATGTCGACTGCACCCGTGCAAATTTCCTCAGCCGATTTGCCTGGGGGTGCCTTCTGTCAATCGCCGACAGCAGATCCGCGCGCAATTGCTCCGGCAGCGGAGACGGCGGCACCGGTAACGGAGCGACGACGTCCCGAGGGGTGCACGCTGCGCCAGGCGGTGCTCGGACCGCGCCCTTGGCGTTTGGAGCGCGGCTGCGGTCGCAGATTCGGCGGGCCAGCGACGCCGATGGAGGTGCGGGAAAGAGAGAGAGAGAGAGAGATATAGAGGGAGAGAGAGAGGGAGAGGGACAGAGGGAGAGAGAGAGAGAGAGGGAGACAAAGAGAGAGAGAGAGAGAGAGAGAAATAGAGACAGTGAACGGAAGAAGAGGAAGAGGAGGAGGAGGCGGAGGAGGAGGAGTAGGAGGGTGGAGGAGGAGGAGGAGGAGGAGGAGGAGGAAGAGGAGGAGGAGAAGGAGGAGGACGAGGAGGATGAAGAGGAGAGGAGGAGGAGGAGAGGAGGAGGAGGAGGGAGGAGAAGGAGGAGGAGGCAGACGTAAATGTGGATGAGGATGTGAGAAAGAGAGAGGGTACGTATAGGGATAGGAGAGCAGGCCTAATGGGAGGAGGGTGGTGGTGGGGGGAGCAAAGAGGCAGGGAAGGACAGGGAAGGGGAGGGGGGGGGGGGTGTGGGGGGGAGAAGGCACAGGAGGAGAAGGAGGAAATGAAGAGAAGGTGGGGGGAAGAGGATGCGGAATGCGGAAGAGGAGGCGGACAAGGAGGAAGAGGAGTGGGAGAGATCGAGGGCGAGGGGGGGCGAAGGAGGAATGATGGGGGGGGGGGGGACAGAGGAGAGGGGGGTGAAAGGAGAGGAGTGGGGAGTTGAGAGAAGGCGAGAAACGCCCCCCCCCCTCCCCTCCTCCTCCCTCCTCCTCCTCCTCCTACCTCCTCCTCCTCCTCCTCTCCTCCTCCTCCTCCTCCTCCCCCTCCTCCTCTCCTCCTCCTCCTCCTCCTCATCCCCTCCTCCCTCCTCCTCCACCTCCTCCTCCTCCTCCTACTCCTCCTCCTCCTCCTCCTCCTCCTCCTCCTCCTCCTCCTCCTCCTCCTCCTCCTCCTCCTCCTCCTACCTCCTCCTCCTCATTCTCCCTTCCTCCCCCCTCCTCCTCCTTTGTACTCCTCCCTCTTTTCGCTACTGAATTTCCTCCCTCCCCTCCTCTTCCTCTGCCGCCCGCGGGCTTGACGGCTGCCGCGGCGTTGCAGGGGCCGTCAGCAGCAATGCAATCATGGTCCTCGTCCTTCGGCTGGCTCGCCGTACCGTGGCAAAACATGGAAGCAAGAGGGGAACCATCTTACGTCAAGGTCCAACACGACAGTCCCTCCGTATGGCAGCAGTGCGACTGCGCGCTAACCTAATCCAGCAAAGAAGCGAGGAGCAGAGGCCCCGAGCGAGACGAGCCGAATGCGGCGACTCCGCAGACGCCCTCCTTCCCATGTGCAGAGCCCCTAGGGAAGGATGTCGCCTCCGCCTCCGCCTCCTCCTCCTCCTCCTCCTCCTTCCTCCCTGCTTCCCTCCCTCCGTCCCTGCCTCCCTCCCTCCCTCCTCCCTCCCGTCCCTCCTCCTCCCCCCCTCACCAGGGCAGCAGGGGGGACGAGCAGGGGATCCTTGCCCTGGCGGATGTTCTGCAATTGCGTCTCCGCGGACGCCGCGACGGACGGCACCGCGTTTCCTCTCGGGCGCGGGCTGTGGAGGGAGAGCGCGATCGCGCGGTGTATGAGCTCGCGTCTGCCTCCTCGCCCTTCGAGGATCGAGCAGCCAGGAGAACGAACGCCCGTGGTCGGTGCGTACTCTGGTGGCCATCTGGTCCTGGATGTTCACGACATGGCGGATGGAGCTCGCCAGGGCACCATCGATGCCTGTAGGGTCCGACGACGGACAAAGAGTGTCCAGACTCTGCTGCTTTCGGGTAAATGTCCCGAAGCAAGGGTGCCCAGACTCAAAAGACGCGTCATGAGTGCATGACAGCATGTTCAGTGAATGGGCCGGCATCCCCCTCGTTGTCAGGCCCCGCCTGTCAATGGCGGGCGAGCGTTCCACACCCTCGATGTCTCAGCTGCAGGCTTTTGGAGGCGACCAGGCAGCGCGAGATCATCGCAAGGACAGCGTCCTCCCGCAGCTTCTGCAGCTCATCCCCGCCCACCTGCCATGCGCCCGTCTCCCTTCCCCAGAGACAGGCTGGGCTGGCGCCTGGCGCAGCCCCCATATCCGAAGCCCCGCGGGCACGAAGCCCCCAAGAAACTCCAAGACGGCCCAAAAGACAGCCAAGAGGGCCACCCCCGGCTGCACCGAGATCCGCCAGGAGTGCCGCACAATTGTTTCGAGCTCCTTCGATCAAATTCGGCAGATCCTTCCCGATTCAGACAGCGCCCCCCCCCCCCCTCCAAAGGCTCCCCAGCGCCCCCGTAAGCCCTCAGGCGGTCCCCGAATTCTGCCCCAAGACGCCCAAGAGGCCCCGAAGACGCAACCCAGTGGCCCTCAAGAGGCCTCCGACAGGACTGCCTCGAACACGCGGCGCGCCGCGAAGTGTTAACGCTGCGCGCATCTCCGGCAAAGTGCCAGGAAACGACGGGTGATTCGCCGCCGGCGGCCTTGATATTCTGATGGGGAGGAGAGATGACGATGGTGACGATGATGATGCTGAGGAGGGCAAAGGCGTGTGCATTTTGGTTCGACTTGCTGCGGTAGCGAAATGCCTTTGTGCGACCCGGCACAGCGCAAGCTTTGCCTGCGCGCGGGGGTCAGCACCATTAAAAAAATCCGATGCCGCACCAACATTTGCCAGCGGCATGCCGCAAGTCGGGGCCGTGCGCCCCACGAGCCTGCCATACCCACCGAGGGCTCCCCATTATGCCTTTGGCTCGACGCTGCTTTGGTCCCCTTCGTCCCTCGCTCCCCCTGGACCCCGCAGGCCTCCACCTCCTCCTCCTGAACCTACTCGCTCCCCCCCCCCTCCCCCTCCCCCCCTCCTGCACCCCTCCTGCACTCTATACAAATACACAATATGAAGACTACTCTCCTCTCTCCCCTGGTGGCGTCCCGGGAATGTCCGGTCCCCCTTCGCGTATTTTTTTAACACATTACAAACAAGACTCCCGGGAGTTTTGTTTTTTGCTATTTGTTTGTTTTTTGTTTATTTGTTTTGTTTTGTTGTTGTTGTGCTTGTGCTTGTGGTTGTGGTTGTCGTTGTCGTTGTCGTTGTCGTTGTTGCTGTTACTGTTGTTGTTGTTGTTGTTGTTGTTGTTGTTGTTGTTGTTGTTGTTGTTGTTGTTGTTGTTTTTTTTCAAAATGCTGCTCTCGCTGAAGCGCTGGACTCATTTTCGGGCTACCGCTCGTTCTGAATCGTGCTCCCGCTGCAACGTTGGCCTCATTTCCGCGCTTCCGCTCGTTCCGAATCCTGCTCCCGCTGCAGCGCTGGCGTCATTATGTCCAGTGTCATGCCACGGGATGGTTTTCGGTCCTTCCAAATAGGCCCACAAATCCCCAACATCAAAAAAATGGAACCCCCAATAAGCCATCGGAAGTGATTACACATTCGGTGCCGATTGCACTACTGCATTGTTCAATCTGCAGGAGTGGCTGGCGACGCTGTTGGGTGTGCAGATTGACGTTGCAGCTTGTGATCGTCGAACCATATGTCAGTGCGCGCAGGAAAACCTAGGTCATCATCGGCGTGCGTGCCTGATGTCCTGTCGTTGTCTATCCGAGCCATCCTCATCAACATCACCGACCTTTTCATTATTTCGCAACGCGCTGGCATATTCACTGTAGGTGCATTGACGTGTGCATCGTTGTGGGAGACAGATGGGGACTTCTCGGGGCCACATCAAGGTGTCGCGAAGCATTTTAACTGCTCTTTTGGAATCCTGGATGCCGTGTAGGAATCATCTTGGAGACCGTCAGCTTGAAACGCGAGGACCTCGAATTTTTGGCTGGCCCCAGGCCCACAGAGAAAACCCGGGGATCATCGAACAACTGGTCCGGGGAGAGGGTGGGGGTCGGCGGCAATAATGACGCCGGGGCTGGAGCGGGAACCACATTTCGGACGACGTTTTAAATGCGGTTCCCGCCAATGCCCTGGCGCAGTGCCCAGGAGGCCCCTGGGGGCCAAAGAAAACCGCCCAAACTCCCGTGCAGTGCTTGCACTCCAATGTTCTGCTCGTTTTCTAAGAAGTGGGCCTGCGCGTCGGTCTGGCTGCCATGTGGTCGCCGTCGCGGCCCCGTCGCCACCTCGTCGCCGCCCGTCGTCCGGGCCTGCGCGTCGGTCTAGCGGCTGTGTGGCCGCCGCCGCCGCCTCGTCGCCGCCCGTCGTCTGGGCCGGCGCGCCGGGTCCGTCGCCGTGTGGTTGCCGTCGCTGCCCCGCCGCCGCCTCGTCACCGCCCGCCGTATGGGCCCGGGTGGCGGTCCTGCCGCCGCGTGGCAGCCGTCGCCGCCCCGTCGGCGCCCGCCGCCTCGTCGCCGCATTGCTTGGCGTTGCGTTTTGCATCGCTTTGCGCTGCTCTGCGTTACTGTGCATTGCCTTGCGCTGATTTTCATGACATTACATTGATCTGCATTGCTTTCTTTGCGCTACTTTCCTGGCGGACTTGGCATTGCGTTGCTTTGGATTGCTCCGCGCTGCTTTGCGTCGCTTGGAAGTGCTCTGCATTGCGTAAGGTTCCATTGCATTGCTTCGCATTGTTATGCGTTGCTCTGCATTCCTTTTCCATATTTTCGCATCTCAGAGCTCGCGCCACATAGCTTGCGCAACGATCTTTATATGGCTCACAACACATAGATGAATACGTTAACTCCAACCGCGAATAGTATACACCATAGCTTACACCACATAGCTCACGCCACATATATTGCACCACGTAGCATGGACCACGTAGCGTCCAATGTATTTCTTGCAACGCAGAGGTTGCACCACATAGCTTGCGCCGCATGTGCTATATCACCGAATATGCTAGAACGCACTGTTTGGAGTTCACGCTGGCTAACGCGCTGATCAAAAGGCCTCGGCAGACCCGAATCCGAAGTCGGAAGGTTCCAGGACGGACCAAGACGATGCAGGTGCGCCCCGAGGAGCACCCAGAGCGTGCTCAGCAAACTCTTCGGGGCTTCCGCCGAGATCTGCGAAAACCACCAGGGGGAATAAAACATGATGCACAGTCTGCATGTAACGACATTGACGATGAACGAGAATGCGTTCTGACAATAACATCACAGCGAATCCAATCGTGGCACGGAGGGCCGCGTGGGATCATTCCGTCGATCGTTTATCTTCCTGTCTCTGCTTCCTCCTCTCCGCGAGCAATTTTTGCTAAACTTTGTTTTGTGCTCGACGTAGCGGGCTTCTGTGCAAAGCGATTGCGAAGCCAAAGCATGGGGGGACTTTCCCCGATTGTTAAGGGGTTGGGAACCCCGACGAACGAACAGACGCTGTAGGTGTGGCTACGAAGTGGTTGATGAATATGACAGTCAATGGTGTGGTTCATTTTGCGAAAAAGGTACACTACACATTTCAACTGTTACATCGTCATCAACATTTTAACGAGTCGTTACTTTGCGAATATTCGCCCAATTGACGGCTGCGCGCGCGGTGGAAAAATGCACCGGAGGAAAAGTAATCGACAGGTTCGTCCACTTGTCTCAATTTTCGAAGTTTTCTCCCGCACTGAAACTAGATTTTCAAATTGTAACTGCTATCGCCCCGTACAACAACGACGACCATAATCGCATCTCCATGGCAATGGGCATGCTGCGTTTGGATCCAGCCAGCGTGGAAGGATGGGCCCGACTGGCGCGTTATTGGCGGATTAGTTCTTCCAGCAAGCGCTTCGAAAGCCTTCGCGTCCATCCAGCGCGTGTGTGATCGGCGAGACAGGAGACAGATGCGCGCTCTGTGCTTCTTGCACTTTGTTGGTCTCGTCAATTCGAACCATATGTTTGACGTAGTTGGTTGTCAACAGTGTTTTTTGTCTGATGAAGAGTGTTTGCCGCTAGTTTCTAGAAGTATTGTCTCTGAGGGGGGTCGTCATGCCTTGGCCTTAGAGACAATTCAGTCGCCGCGAGGTGCTGCGCTACCACCGAACAGGAACTTAGGACAACTCGTCGTTTAATATTTTCAATTTTGGTTCCATGTTGGGAATGCCCCGGTCGAACTCTTAACCCCAGCCTGAAAGCGACGGTCGCGGGCGATCTGGCAAAAACTCCCCCGGGCATCAACGAGAAAAAAGGCAAACTTATAGCTGGCGGCCTTCGGCCCAGCCCGCTACCGTGCCTGGGTTGTCTGTGAGAGGCAGCGTTGGATGCCTGCGAGCATTTGTTGGGAGCCTTTCGGGAACCTGCGGCTTGGCGAGTGTCCGGGCGCGTCTCGGGGGCCTCCGGAGGCCGCCGAAGACCTCTGGGGGCTTCTTGGGGGCGCCCGAAGGCCTCGAAGGGATCTGGGGGTCGTCGTAGGGCGAAGCGCTCATAATGTAAATTCGCGTTTCCCTCTTGGGCTCCTGCGTGGGGCTGTCATGGGTTATGGGGGCCTATTGGGCTCCTCTTGGGTGCGCCCGGGTCGTTTTTGGGCGATCTTGGGCGCCCCCATAGGCCGTTTTGGACGCTCTGAAGATCCGACAGGCGGTCGTGATCAACCCATGCGAGAACTTCGGACGTGGGCGGTCTGGGCCTCCGGCGCCGCTC